ACCACGTGTATAATCTGTCACAGCAGTGTGGAATGGCCTCACGGAGTGCAGCAATATAAGAGCTTTTGGAGAAAGGCAAGCTGTGTTTCCGCCATCACTCTGCCTCAGAATCAAGCTGAAGAGGTCTCCATAAGAGGTCTCCTGGCTGGCAGAGGCTGCTGAGGAGATGCATTGAATCAATGCAACCCTTGGCTGCTCCTCCATGCCCCCTCCCTGGCCACCATCACCCACTTTTGAGGTGGCACTGGCCAGCATAGGGGTATTTGGATCCAGGCTTTAGTTTGGACCTCTCTCCAATAGAATCTGCTAGTGACCCTGGGGTATATGGATGGATTCATAGATTATAAGGCTGGAAAAAAACAATGTGATCACCTTGTCAGACCTTCTGCATAAAACACAGGTGATAGGACTTGCTTGAATTAGTTTCTGTTTGAACTAGAGCATATCTCTTAGACAAAAGTCAAATCTTGATTTTAAAATGTCCACTGATGGAGAGTCCACCACAGTCCTCTGTAAGTTGTTCCAGTTGTTAATAATTACTCCCACTGGTCAAAACGTATACCTTCATTTCTAGTCTAAACTTGTCCAGCTTCACTTCCAGACAGAAAGTCTTTTTACATCTTTGTCAGCTAGATAGAAGAGCCGTGTATTATCAAATTTCTATTCCCCGTGTAAGTACTTATAGACTGTGTGCAAGTCACCCATTAACTTTCTCTTTGACAAGCTAAATAGATTGAGCTCCTTCCGTCTTTCACTCGAAGGCATGTTTTCCAATCCTCTAATCATTCTCATGGTTTTTCTCTGAACCCTCTCCAGTTTTTCAACATCCTTCTTTAATTGTGGCCACCAGAACTGGACACAGTGTTCCAATAGCAGTCATATCAGTGCCAAATACAGAAGTGCTTTAACCTCTCTACTCCTACTTGATATTTCCCTGTTACCTCATTAAGGATCTCATTACCCCTTTTGGCCACAGTGTCCCTCTGGGAGCCTGTTAGAGCAGAATCTTGGTCGGACTATAGCTGTATTGGGTGCACTGAAGTTGGTGGAACTCCACTGGTTTACACCAGCTAAAGATCTGGAGCCCACACATCTTTCCTTGTGACGTTGCTGTTTCTGTAACAACACTGTACATCTTAGGGAACTGTTTGCACAGTTTGAAAGCAAACCATTTAAGGTAAAGTTTGGCAGGGTGTAGAAATCTAAAACTTCTCATATTTCTGACAACACTACTGGTAGCTTTCACAAATGACCGAAGTTGCCGTGTAATGGATGATCCTCCGTTTCCGCATTATTCCACTTTTAATAGCCTGTTAGTAATTTTAAAAAGGAAAAATGATGCTCATGCCCTCTTGTGGTAGGATATTGAACAGGATGGATTTTTCTAATGGACAAAATCAGGCGATTGATGGAAACGTCCCAGATAGAAATCTGCTACAAGAATAGTTACATACAGTCCTGGTATATCCATTGACTGAGACAGGGAGTGATGCAGTACCACGTACATTTACAGTGCTAGATGAATTAATAATCATGATGATGATCAATGTTTGTGCCAGGCTTTCTGGAGTGGAGACAGTTTTAAAAGTTCTTCTTCGGAACACCTCAGTGCAAGAAACTAAACAAAATAATGCTTTCTAAAGTGCATCGTGCTTGATTCCTCGGCTATGGGATGCAGACTCTGTGAGTTACTCGTTGCAGGCTCTGTGGGGAAATATACCTTCAGCTTGCTCTACAGTTCACTCACAATTCTGACAGATTCGGTTTTTTGCTTCCCCAGAGAGTCCCCATTTTCAGTGTTTGAAAAGTTCTTGCCTAGGAAAGCACAATTCAGATGCAACATCCAGTTCCCAGTGAGAACCTCCCTTTGAGCCCTCCAGTGTTCCAACATACATTGACTGAAGCGAAAGGCAATGAAGGGACTTGCCCAGGACCTCACATTGAGTCAGCGGGTTAGTTAGGATTATCCCCCAGGATCCTCCTAATTCCCCTGGATTTAGATTTTAGGATTGGGAATTGGGATTCCTGAGTTCTAGTGCCAGGTCTGCCACTGACTTCCTGTGGGATCTCAGGCAGGTTACTATGTCTAACCTGATTCTGTGTCTCATCTTACCAGTCTGTAAAATGAGTCAAATAGTAATATACCCAGGCACATACAAATTTTGGCCATACATTCTTCCAGGGCTTGGTTCTGCTGTCACACTTGTTTTATACTGGCGTAACTCCATTTGCCTCCCCAGAGTTACTCCTGTACTACGCCAGTTTAAGGTCCTTATCCTGCACTATTGAAGTCAATGGGAGCTTTGCTGTTGACTTCAGTGAGCATACAATAAAGCCCTGAATCAGAGGAGAATTGGGTCCAAAGTGTCAGCACTTGTCAGTTTGCTTAGAAAAGAAAAATGTGATAGTTAAAACTTCATGGCAGCTTAATATTAAAAAGAAAAACGTTCAGCTTTTAGGAGCCTTTGAGGGATTTCACATTCATTTGGGGGCTCAGTCCTGAAGAATTCCAAGTCTAATTTAAAATATCCACCCATACACCCACCTCCCTGATCTGCAAACTATGCGTCATTGCCATTGGCCTGGGCTTTGGCAAATCTTCTCGTCCAGATGTACACACTTTGGAAATGAGCTGGAATTTGCCTTGAAATATCTTTCTGATCCTAATGGAATTATGTGCCTTGGGGGCAGAAACTCCAGAGGCTCTGTGAATGGAACCCAAATGTGGCTCTTAACTTGTTTTAGAGTTTGGTCTTCAAATCTCTGGGGTCCATCTCTGTATTTTCCACATTAGTCAAAGTAATTGTCTTGATGGCCATTTTATTCGCCAGCGAATAATACCTGTGAGTTAACGGTTTCATCCCGAATAGTGCCACACCTGCAGGTATTTCCACCTTTAAGAGGTTTCCAAATTTATCTTCAGTCACCTTCAGGTTTTTATATCAATAGAGAACAGTGACTTCTTTGGCTCAGGCTTAGAGGCTCAATCCTGAAAGGCGCAGTTCATTCACTGAGGTGCTGAGTGCCCATTGCTCCTGTTGACTGCGTGTGGACTCTAGGGTACGTCTATACTTACCTCCGGGTTCGGCGGTAAGCAATCGATCTTCTGGGATCGATTTATCACGACTTGTCTAGACACGATAAATCGATCCTGGAAGTGCTCGCCGTCGACGCCGGTACTCCTGCTCCGCGAGAGGAGTACGCAGAGTCAACGGGGGAGCCTGCCTGCTGCGTGTGGACCCGCAGTATGTACCTTGTAGTTCGAACTAAGGTACTTCGACTTCAGCTACGTTATTCACGTAGCTGAAGTTGCGTATCTTAGTTCGAACTGGGGGGTTAGTGTGGACCAGCCCTAGCTGTCAAGTTTGGCACCTGCGAATTAAGACACTCCAAATCAGTGGCCACTTTTTTTACAAAACAGTGCCAGGCTGTTTCTGAGCCTCAACTTCCCCTGCTGTAAAATAGGGATAATGATGCTTGGTTACCTTTTGTAACATGCTTTGAAATCGACATTTTTGTCAGTTTATTGCAAATCAGTGCTTTCCTACAGTACTGCAACCCTAAAATTCCTCCTTTCTTGCAAGGACTTTCAGCCCTTGTGGGGTGAATTGATTTGAATGACTGTCCATTCTTATAGAGATGCTCCTTTTCAGCAGGACAAATGGAACGTTAAGACACCAGAGGTGAAATCCAGGTCTCATTGAAGTCAGTAGCAAAATTCTTCTTGACTTCAGTGAGGCTAGGGTTAGGGTTAGGACCCGACTACAGGTTTGGGGAAGGGAGACCAAGGGTCCTGGCACTCTCAGGATCAGTAGTCTCTGATCAACTGGGCACAGCAGTGACTGTGGGCTATTCCTACCAGCTGCTGCCACTAGAGTGCGCTGTGTGTGCTGCAGAGAGAGCGTGCCGACGAGTCACGGCGCCTCTCACTCCATAGCACATGCAGCGTGGCGGGGTGGCCAGCAGGAGCCATCACTGCAACCACTCCACTGGCAGGAGGCGGACAGAGATGGATCGTCGACATGGGGAGCAGGAATCCTCCATCACGCTGAGCCCAGGGATCAAGGCTCTGTCGGTGGCGCTGACACAGGTTCAGGAGGAGCGGTCCAGGGGAACTGGTGCATGGGTGCTGGCTGGACCAGGGAACGGCCGGCTCAAGGTTGGGCAGGGCTGGGCGACAATTAGCCTCAGCAGCTCTGTGGAGGAAACAAAGTAAAGAAAATGGTGTCCGGGATGGTGGCTAGACCTTGGCAACCCAACCCAAACCCAAAGCGATCTGACTACAAGTATCCGGTTTGGGTCAGGTCTGAAAACAACCTGACATGCTAGGGCTCGGGTCGGGTTCAGATTAGCTGTGCTCTAGTTGGGTTCAGGCTGCCCGAGCAGACTTCCAACCAGGATTTCACCCCAGGACTGTAGCTCAACCTTAAGGAATCCATTGTCGATAGAACTAAGCAGAGCTCACGGGCGTCTCTACGTGGCGCAACAATGTGCCTAGGGGGATGTGATTTCTAAAGCACACTAATATGTGGCATATTAATCGGTGTAGGGGAGGGTCCCCCAGCCCAGGCTCCAGCCCGAGCCCGAACAGCTACACCGCAATTAAACAGCCCCATAGCCCAAGCCCCATGACTCAGCTGACGTGGGCCAGCTGTGGGTGTGTAATTGCAGCATAGGCACACCCTAAGAATCAGAGGCGCGCCTCCCCCGCAAAAAAAGATTAATGAACCGGAACATCCCATTCAAAATGTAACCAGTTAGAAGTAAGATAAAACACGCACACTGCTCAGTGTACAGACTGATACCCAAATAATATAAAAGCACAGATGAAGCAGGATGTCTTTCTAATCTACATGGTAAAATCAAGGCTGTTCTGTAACTGTTGTACAAGTGACTGTAAAAGTCTAGGGCATCTCTTGAATAAGATTTCCTAATGTTGGTTTATTTCTCACACAGACGCAAACAAACTTCTAATGGAATTCTGTACCATGTCTTGACAGGTATTGACGGAGAGCGGTTTTGGCACAATCACAACAGAAATCCGTGAGGCTCCGGAGTTCTATTACGCTGAAGATTACCATCAGCAGTATCTAAGCAAGAACCCCAATGGCTACTGTGGACTTGGGGGCACTGGGGTATCCTGTCCAGTTAGTATTAAAAAATAATCCATGCGCACACTACTGCACAAACATTGTATTATGTTTTTGCTAGAAACATAAAGTAAAGCAACTTGATGTGTTGTTGGATGATTACTCCCGGGGGAGTTCTTTGCCAAAAAATTAAAAATTCTTTGCACCGTATTTTACAATTCTGCAAAATTCTGCATATTTTAGTTGTTAAAAGAACACAATATAATCACGCCAGTTCCAATTACTTTGGTAATTTATTTCAAAATACCTGTCAGCAAGTATGTCTGTAACAATACAGACAACGAAAAGATTCAGGAAATGTTTTCTGACAAATAGATTCCTTACTAGGCATATTAATAAAGAACTTGATGTATCTTTGTTGACAGTTATATTCTGGTTCAGTGAAATTAAATATTTCATTTAAAAAGAGTCATTATACAAATGTATGTTACACAAAAATATTGTAACGACCTGGCCTAAGAGGGCGCTAGCATCCTTAAGGACTGTTTTGTGTCTGTCTGTCATGTCTTGTCCAAGTTCAAGCTTCTATGTGTATTGTAAGGTTTTTGGGTCACACTATTCTAGCGGGAGGGGGTTAGTGAGCTAGCGGAGTTTAATTGTAGTATAATGGGTGATTAGCATGGGGAAGGGAGACCAAGGTAAGACTGTGGGTGTCGGGGCGAGTGTGTGTGCACATGCGGGGTGTGTGGGTTTGTGTTTGTGTGGGTTGGGTCGTGTACATAGTTTGCCAGCTGACACCCCTTCATCTCCGGAGGTAGTATGCACGCACCCATGCCAGGTGCAGCCAGGAGTGCTGCGGTGATGTGGTGACAGGTGGGAGCGGAGGAGGGCAGGTTCAGGCTGGCAGGGAATATAAGAGGGAGGGCAGCACCACTAGAGTCAGACGCACGCAGAGTGGAGTTTAAGGTGAAGAGTGCTCATGTGCGTGTGAAGACAAACACACTCTACCCTCAATCTCCCTTCCCCATGCTAACCACCCACTATCCTACAACTAAACTCTGCTAGCTCACTAACCCCCTCCTGCTACAGTGGTAGGACCCAAAAACCTTACAATACACATAGAAGACGTTATGTGTGTACATAACTAATACATTTTAAACATGCAAAGCTAGAAAAAGGAAGCATTTTGGTGGAAATCACAAATTCTGTGTGACAAAAATAAAATTGTGCGGAGAACATTAATTCTGCCCAAATTCTGCATTGCTCAGTGGTGCCGAATTCCAACAGGAGTATGTGACGTTCCCCTCTGGTGTAATCTGTACCGGTGATCTGCTAGGCCCCTCCAATCCTTGACTCTGGGAGCCAGCCTTACCCTGCTCTGCTGTGAGAACCCCCACTCCTGGGCTGTTCACGCACAGCCTCTGGCATGTAAGCTGCTCCAGCTACCTGCAAGCGAATGACACTAGCCAATATCTCCAGTCCCAGACACAACCCTGGGAACCTCCATCTTGCAGTGTCCAGTTATGCCGGCTGGACACTGCACGCTTATATGAGCTCATCAGCTTAACAAAGAAATAGATATGTACCAGGCTTGTTCTCCCAAGGGGTGTCTCTGACACACTGCAAACCAAATGCACTGCTTCAGGTAGAATAAACAAATAGGTTTATTAACTATAAAGGTAGATTTAAGTGGTTATAAGTCAAAGCATAACAAGTTAGATTTGGTCAAATGAAATAAAAGCAAAACGCATTCAAAGCTGATCTTAACACTTTCAGTGTCCTTACAAACTTAGATGCTTCTCACCACAGGCTGGGTCTTCAGCCAGGCTCTCCTCTTTGATCAGCTCTTCCGTCGCTTGGTGTGGTGTCTGTAGATGTAGGTGGAAGAGAGAGAGAGAGAGAGAGAGAGAGAGA